TTCTATAGAGCATACTGGAAACAATACCTCAATCTGAAGAGAAAGTTATCCACACCCCAGAGGGCACAGGGAATAAATAAATCATTCCAGAATACTCAATCAAAAGAGATCTAAGAAAACAACACAAAGCAACAAAAACAACAAGGAATTAATGCATATTGTTCAATAGTAATTCTTAATGTTCTCAAATTCCCAATAAAGATGCACAGAGTAGAGGACTGGATTGGGTCATTCAGAAAAAAATTAAACAGGGAAACTCTGGAGATAAATGACATCATAAGTCAAATAGACTCAAAGAACATTTCACCCAAATACTAAAGAATACACATTATTATCAGAAGCCCATGGAACTTTCTTCAAAATCAACCTCATAGTAGGACACAAAGCAACTCTCAACCATTGTAAGAAAATTAAAATAACATACTGCATTCTACCTGACCACAATAGAATAAAGATGGATAAAAACAGCAACAGAAACTATAGAAAATTCACGAACTCAGGGACACCAAATAACACACTACTGCATGGTAATTGTGTTGAGGAAGAAATCAAGAAGGCAAACTTCAAATAGAATGAAATAGTTAGAATGAGGTAGTAGAATTTAAATAGTTAAATCAAAATGAAAACAACATACAAAAGTCTGTGGAACTCAATAAAGTTAATCCTAATAGGAGAATTGATAGTACTGTCTACAACAAAAACTTTAAGATATGTCAAGTTAGTAGTAACTTAATGGTACACCTGAAGATGTTAGTTAAAAAAGAACAAACATCACTGGGTGTGGTGGCGCACGCCTTTAATCCCAGCACTCAGGAGGCAGAGGCAGGTGGATCTCTGTGAGTTCAAAGCCAGCCTGGTCTGCATAGTGAGTTCCAGGACAGCTGGGGCTACAGGGAGACCCTTTCTCAAAAAGACCCCCAAAAAAGAGAGCGAGAAGATGGGAAGAAATAATCAAAATCGGGACTGAAATTAATTAAGTAGGAACAACAAAACAAAACATACAAAGAATCAGTAAAATGGAGAGTTGGTTCTTTGAAAAGATTAGCAAGGTTCACAATCTTAGTCAAATTAACTAAAAGAGAGAGGATATAAATATTAATAATAAAATTAGAGAAGAAAAGGATGATATTATAACTGACACTGAGGAGATTCATAGAATTCAAAGAACATACTGTAAAATCCTATACACCATTAAAGTGAAATGTCTAAAAGAAATTGATGAATTTCTAGATGTGTATCACCTAACAAACTTAAATCAAGATGAAATAAATAATTTAAATAGATCTATAGCATCCAATAACAGCCTGCTGAATGGGAAAATATCTTTACCAGTTATACATCTCACAGAGGCTAACTATCTAGATATACAAAGAAAACAACCTAAAACCTGTGAACATAAGCAAAACTAATAACCCAATCGAAAATTGGGGCATTGTACTTAACAGAGTTTTCACAAGATAAAATAAAAATTACTCATAAATATTTTTTAAAACATCTGCAGACATCAAGGAAATGCAAATGAAAACTATTTAGAGATTTCATCTTACCCCACTTGGAATAACTAAGATTTAAAAAATGACAACAAATGCTGGCACGGATGTGGGGGAAGGGAACACTTAACTGCTGATAAGAGTACAAACTGGTACAGACATGGAAATCAATATGGAAGTTCCTCCAAAGCCAAATTAGATCTACCTCAAGATCCAGCTCTACCACTCTTGTGCATATACTAGAGGACTCTATATCTATCCTCTGTAGATCCTTCTTGCTCAAATATGTACATTGATTGCGTCTCTGTTCAAAATAGCCAAGAATGGAAATAACCTAGTTTTACATTACTTGATGAATGGCTAATGAAAATGTACTGTCTTTATCCAATCGACTATTATTCATCTGTTAAGAAAAATGAAACATAGATAAATGGATATAGATGGAAAAAATCATTCTGACTGAAGTAACCCAGACACAGAAAGACAAACATCACGTTGTATCTCATTTGTTAATGTTATCTTTGAATTGTTGGTATTATGTGTTTGTTTTTGAGTATTAATAGAGGTCAGGAAACCAGTAAGGGATTGGGGAGGTGGACATTCAAGAGAGGAGAAACAGAATGCAATAGTGTAAAGGAAGAAAGAGGAGTAATGGAACAGGAAGGGTTAAATTGGGTAGGGATTTTAAGGCAGGGTAGAATAAGGAACATGGGAAAGGAAGAGTAACATTAAAGATCTTTTTGGAAACTTACTGTAGAAGCTTCTTAAATATATACATATAAATATATAAAAATAAGTTAATGGCTGGGCATGGTGGTGCACACCTTCAATCCCAGCACTTGGGAAGCAGAGGCAGGCAGATCTCTGTGAGTTTGAGGCCAACCTGGTCTACATAGCAAGTTCAAGGCCAGCTGGGGCTACAGGGAGACCCTGTCTCAAAAGGACCAAAATTGATTGATTAATTAATTAATTAATTAATTAATTAATGGAAGCTCAATGTTTCTACTAGACACTACAGGCTGTCAAATAAGAAGCCCAATGTCAGGAGTGGGTAATTTCTTTTGGAGTTGTTGGTTAGTGGGGTCCCATAGACACCAAAATATTAATGGCTAGTGCCAGTGCTCTTAGTTACCCTTAAGTACTTGATGGGAAAACCCTATTACTGAAGACACTACACACAAGCTATAGAACATGTAGAATTCAGACTGGCTCTGACCTTGAAGCTTCATCCCTACGGGATAGCTTTTATATTGACAGAAGGTGCTATGAAAATCAAAAGAGAAAAGTAATCATCAATGTTACCCAGCTATTAACCCTGCAGTCTATAGTAAGAACTGAGCAGGCAAGTTTGCTGGTACAATATACTTACTGGCACAATAGTCGCATGAGTGTGATGGTGATAACCAACCATTTTCTGATTGGATTTAAGACCTGCTCCACAAGATGGAACCATACTTGGCACCATTATCAGGACCAAATCCTGTTGCTAGATAGGTTATAAGCCCTAAAAAAGAGCCTAGTACTATCATTCTGTTAAATAGACATAGTACTTAACCAACTCCTAATGACATACTGATAAACTCATGTATTAATACATCTCTCAGCCCTCATCAGAGAGCTTTTTTTTTAAAGTAGATAGCTGTTAACACAATAACCTGCAACTAGTCACCATGCAGAGAATAAAAGACTATAGTTTTCAGCCCTAAATATGACACCTCTATCATACCACCTTGTCCTCCCAAGTTTAAGGAATCTTTGTGAAAGTGAGGGCAGATAGATTGTCAGAGCCAGAGTAGTAAGTAGATGACTGCCAAGAAACAGTGCTTCTAAATTCAACAGGGCAGCTGTACATGTGAACTCACTGCTGTTGTGACATCAAGACTTGTGCAAGCCAAACCAGGCAAAATCCCAGCATGGAGTTGGGAGGTGGGCATGATGCCTCACTTCTAGCTGAGGAGCTTATGGAAACTGACTGATGGCTGCTGGAAGAATAAGAGTCAGTTTTCTTTCAGGACAGTCCGTGGCAGGTTGACCATGCTCCAGTGGATGCCCCACATCCAGGAGTATATGTGCAGCACAAATTGGAGTTTTCAGATTTCTTTAAAAAGATAAAAAAAAGTTGTCTGGATGGAGAAGGGAGTGTGTATCTAAGAGGAGTTAGGTGACAGGGTGAATATGGTCAAAATACATTGCATGAAATTCTTAAAGAATTAATAAAAATATTGTATATAAAAAAGAAATCATACTTTAAAAGAAAACGAAGTTATATCTTGCTACCTAAAATTTACAAACAAATGTAAACTACATCTGGGTGGCCCAACCTTCTGCCTTCATTATTGCCAATTAATTACAAATTCATAGAAACCATTCATGATGCTTAATTTTTTGGATTGTTTGTTTCTAGGTTGCTCATTCAGTAGGTCATTTGGACTGAATCAACTCAGTAGTCATGGAAAGCTTAGTTTCATGTGAACTATTTACCTGAGAAATGTCAGCATGAATTTCCAGAGAGTACTACTTAATAGATCTGCTACGACATGGTCCTTGCATTTATTTTCTTCCTGCTATTAAGGACATATAACTTTAGGCACACTCGCCTTGGGTAATATCATGAGAAAAGGTTATTGATGTTATAAGCTTCTCTAGCTGATAAAACCACTTTGTCACCACACTTCTTGTCTAGGAATGGAAAAGTTTCTCCAATTTTCTTTTTTCATCTGTTCAGAGTCATAAAAATTAAAAGCAATACTTAAAGACCAATTGTAAAATGATAATATTAATAACATTCCCATGTACCTAAAAAGAAAAGTAGATATTTACAACATAACCCCCAAACCAAAAAAAAATTGTTTCTTAAATCTATTCAGGAATTAAAATTTGAAAAAGAAAATTCTCTTTGTTTATATATTTATTTAATAAACAAGCTAATAACTTTGATTATTCTTCTTGAAACTTGTTTAATGCCAAAGAGCCCAAGTATGAATTTAGAGTAGTCCCACTTCAAGAAATTCATGAAACTGAATAGGCCCATACGCATACCTGTCCAAAACAATCATGATCTTTCACTTCACCACACTGCCTTCCAATTTGCCACAGGCACAAATACTTTGTTTCATGGGAATGTGGTCTATGAAACTGTGCACACGGATGATATTCAGACATAATTCACTTAGAAGTGTTTACCACTGTATAATTTTATCATTGCATATTCGTGTGTGGTGGCAATTATTAATTTAGAACTACAAAGATAGTATCTCTAAATACCTGGTGTTTACATGCACTATGTAAATGAAAGGCATTAAACTAAGCATTCTCAACAGACACTTCGATAGGATGTGTTTTCAGTCACATAATTATGAACTCAGAATACATGTATTTGGCCCAGGCTTATTTTCATCATAAAAATGGTGAAATCGTTTTGCATGACAGTATCAGACTTTGCCCTGTTTATTTATGTATTTATTTATTTATTTATTTATTTATTTATCTACTGATCCTTTTGTTTTCCAGGAAGCATTGCCATCATTGTGCCTCTGGTCCTTTTGGTCACATTGGTAACCACCTTAGTGATTGGTTTGGTGCTTTGTAAGAGAAAAAGAAGGTAAGGCACAGTGCTCTGGATTCATGTTTGGTGACTAAGTCATGTGAAAGTTGCAGAAATGTAGTGATCTCTTTCTTAAAACAGGTCTATGTTATTTCAATTGCATGAGCCTTTATTCTTCAAATCATTCATTCCTCTATTTCATTTAAAATGATTATAATTAGCCAGGCATGGTGGTGCATGCATTTAATCCCAGCACTCAGGGAGGCAGAGGCAGGCAGATCTCTGAGTTCAAGGCCAGCCTCGTCTATATAGTGAGTTCTAGACCAGGCCACTACAGGAAGACCCTGTCTCAAAAAGACCAAATAAAAAAAAAAGATTATAATTTACATAAATATTCCTTCATATTTACATTGATAGGTTGGCCCAATTATATACTCTAAAAAATCAAAAGGGAGCATATAATTAGCATTTTTGTAGAATCTCCCATTTCCAGTAATCTTTACTTAAATCATCAAGGTCTCTGAAGAGTATCTTATTTTTTAATGTCTATGATTATTAGTATCAGTATATTCATACTGAATGTGAAAATATACATCATATCATTTCATTGCTAAAGTGCATTTGCTTATTTGATATCTTCCTGGGAGCAGTAGTATTTCTATTTATATGAATAGACACAGAAGAAAGGAGTCATCCATGTCAATCTATGAACTGAGAGTTTGAGAGTCAGGGTTCTAGCCATATAAGTTGGTAGTTATAAGCATACCATTGCAAAGTTTCTTCATCAACGTTTTGTTAGAGGTAGTTTTCAGACCAAAGGAAAAAATGGAATTGTAAATTACAGTTCAATTGTGAATTCTCCAGTAATGTGGTATGTGTTGGGGAAAATTTCATTTCTAATGTATTTTATATATTGTTAAGTCAAATAATTGGAAAATAAATGCTTAAGCTATATGTTTTTGTTCTCTCATGACTTGACAAATGTCATTTATACAATTTAACTCAAATATATTTTATTCAAATTTCTCATCCATTGTATTCAGTAAACCTATAAATATTATAATAGTATAGACCTTGAATTGTGATTTTGTATAATTGATATTTATATAATGGCCATATATTATAGAACAAAAACAATTCGAAGACAACCCATCATCAATGGTGGAATAAATGTAGAAATTGGCAATCCATCATATAACATGTATGAAGTGGATCATGACCACAGCGATGGGGGTCTTCTTGAACCCAGCTTCATGGTAGATCCAACAAAGGTACTATGTTTTACGATCATGGACAGTGAACGTTGACATTCTTGAGTCAAAAACTATTGTACATTCTGAATCACCATGCATTGCTAACATCTTACATTACAGCCCAGGATTTTCAGACAGATTGAGTGGTCTATTCTCTTTTAAAGTAAAACATAATATGGACTGTACCCACTGAAACATGCTAGTTAACATTGCATGGTTTATAAATTGCTGTTTGTAAAGCTGTATAATTTATTCAATATAATATAATAAATTATTTTGAAGTATTAGTATAAATAATCACAGTCACCAATTGCATTTAAGTGATTTTCAGCTGCTTCCAAGACTGCCTATTAGTCTGGCTCTAATCTAAGACTTCCTAAGCATGAAACTTATAGTCAGATGTTCATTATTATGAAAACCACCATTACTGAATAGATGAAATATGCAGAAATTATAATGATTTTCAGTAGAAGTAATTTTATTTGTTGCTAATTAACAAACTCCTACCTTTGAAATTTTCATGAAATAAATACTGGCTATTTTAGTTTAGTGTATTGTATTAGATATTTAAAGATCCTGTATATTGGGCACATATTTACTTAGTACTTTATCTGTGAAAGAGATAAAAATAGATTCTGGCATTCTTTCAGTTGTTCAAAGAAAGAACAACACAGCATCCCTCATATAATGAGAGGTGACGAGGACATACTCCTCTAAGTACTTTTCAGCCTTTCTTGAAGAGTGCTAATTTTCCCTCATCATTTTCATCCATAGTGACTAATTAATCCAATATTTGTACTTAAAGAGAATGGTTCTTTATCAGCTCATTGGAAAGAACTGTACATTTACCTCATGAAAATAAAACTATGCCCCAGTGCCCTTCACATACAGTTTAATGTACTAAGAACTTAACGTTCAATATGCATTTACTAGTTAGTTGACTGGATAATCAAAATTGAGTAAACTGTAACTGAACAGTTTGATTTTAGTTAATTACTAATGCTTGGAATGTAAATATGAATCATTGCATGTGAGAAAACCTGGCTCATCTTAACAGGTGCAGCCACTAGTAAAAAGTAGAAGGTGAGGTCAAAACACCATAATCAAAAATGAATTTCATAAAATATTCATTGTGTTAGATATAAATCTTTTGAAACAACCATTTCAGTTATTTTCAAAGTGTGTAACACTTCTAGGTTTTAGTATCCTCTGATTAAAAGGATTGGTGGACTTAATAAAATTGATAAAATAGAACTGAATATGAACCAAGTCACAGACAAATGTGCAAAAAAGGAAATATTTATGGATTTTATACCACAACTCATCTCAAACTTTACTTGGAAATTTTTAGTGTGATTAATTCATAAATGATTGGCTCTGTGTTCACATTTATAGGTCTTTAACTAGAACTGCTTTGAATATTTTCAGTATTGTATTTCAGAACTCAGAGATTTTGGGGGAGGATTAAGTACTATATTGACTTTATTGCATTTTAAAATATTTTCCGGAGCCTCCTCTCTTTCTTGCAAACATTATTTTTGTTCAATATTAAGAATTAGTGGCTAAGATTTTTAAACATGTGTCTACTCCTCATGTTTGTATGCTCTACATAGTCAATATATATTATTATAAGCATTATACTATGAATGTAAGTGTAATCCCTGAGTTAATGTTCCTTTAGTCTTAATAAAACAAGAAGCACAGAGACTGTTTCAGGTATGAAAGTAGATTTCCAAAAAAAAAATTAATTGATATGCCAACTTGAAGTTTTATATTTTAAATCCTAAAAATATAAAATGATGATTAAATTTTCATTATAAGAATGCAGTTGAAGCTTCCAAATGGACTCCTGTATGAACTTTTCAGTGTGAAATTTTTATAAAATGTTATTTTATTGTTTAATATGATTTATATTAATGAAAAATGGTTCCATGACATGAGATGAGAAACTAAACTTCTCTGTTTATATGCAGGCTAGGTATATAGGGGGAGGGCCCAGTGCTTTCAAGCTTCCACACACAGTGCCGCCCATCTACCTAAACTCTGATTTGAAAGGACCACTAACTTCTGGGGTGAGAGAAGCAGCCCATCATTTTATTCCCATTCTTCAGCAAACCCTTCACATCTGCAGAGTCCTACTTGACCTGGACAGAGCTTGCCCTTATGATGTTTGTATTAATAAGAGTTTGAAAAACAACATTAAAATCAGGCACTTTTGCTGTGTGTTTCGCCCATGGAAGATTATTTATAAAATATGCTGTTTAGGCAAATTTCTAAGCAGATATATCTCCTTTGCTGGATTTGAAAGGATTTTTGTGTCGATAGTGTGGCCAGACAAACTTATGGCCAGAGAGTTAAAGAGACTACATTTAAATTTATTAGTTTTGATACATGTATATACATTTGATATGAGTAAAACAAAAATTAACTTACTTAATGCATGTTATCAAATTGGCAAATTAGAGATGGTTCAATGGAGCTCATCTCTGTGTTTTGAAAAAGCTATTCTGTCCACAGTCACAAAGCTTACCTCAGGCAGAAGAGGAATGAGCTGAGATCCCCGGCTCCTTTCTCTCCTTGTTCCTGGCCCCCTAGCTGTCCCTTCCCTCCTGTTTGTCCCCCAGCTGATTTTCACTGTCATTGTCTGCCCTTCGTCACTGCCTTTGCATCTCATAAAGACTATATGTTTTCCTTGTTGTAAAGATACTGCTTTTGAAAAAAAAAAAAAAAACACAAACCAAATGCAAAAGTTAGGCAACACTTTCTTATGTTGTGCAGCCACTCCCTTAATAACAAATATTGAATATACTTTCCAACTGAAAGCACTCACTGCTACTAGCCTTGATTCTGTTTCAGATTCAATATGTTCGAAATTTTGGTACATTAAGGTGACTGTGTATCTCAAAAATATTAGGAAGGGTCCAAAGATATGTCCAAATATCATATATGCATGTACATATATGCTGTTTGAAGCAAAAATAGTATCTTTATTTAGAAGGGAAACTCACTGAAGTAGTTTGCTTTTTTTTTACTTCTACTTTATTTGCTTTTAATTAACATTGAGAAAGTATATGAACCTACCGGTTAGATGACTTTTATATGCATACTTTATTTGCCATTTCTGAACTTCAATCAGCAGTACAAAATGGTGATGATGGAGTGAAAGGTCGTTCAAAAGATGACAATGAGATTAACAGTCTACAGAAAAGCCTTGGGGAATATAAATTCCACAGGCTTTTCATTTTATATCAGAGTTTCTGTGAGGTTCACAAGTTACCTTATAAATATAACACGTGTTTATGTTAAAGTAGCGTACAATTTGTAAGTATACAATTTAAATTACACTTCAGTGAATATTATTTAGCAAATTGAATGTTGCCATTCAGTGGTAGACACCCTTCAAATTGAACAATGTGATCACTGGTCCTAAAATTAGGCTAATTTTTTCTCCTTCAGCCAACAAATTATTCCAATCCGGTGTATGCAAAATTGTATATGGATGGACAGAACTGTCGAAACTCCTTAGGAAGTGTTGATGAACGAAAAGAACTTCTTCCAAAGAAACTAGAAATTGGCATCAGAGAGACCGTGGCTTAAGGAATGATACTTTTCTATGCTGTACAAATGTATAAAATATAAGGATTACTTTTGTATGTTCCAACAGTATTATACTTGTTTTAGCATCAGCATTATCTCTTTATCTTTCTCCTGGTTAATTGTTTTCTGAGGTTTCTGGGTTTTATTTTTGCTGATGACTATCGATTGACCATTTGTATGGTATTTTTATGAAAAAGAACTGCACTACAGTACAATTTACAACAATGCTGCTGATATGACACACCTTTGAATTTGTTAAAATTAAAAACAACATATTCCTTTGTAGTGTTAATATGAGCAATCTATTTTATATGAACTTTTTGGTTTTACTTAATCAACAAAGTAATCTCTGCACTTTTTCATTATATTCTCTGAATATTGAAATACAATGTCATTTTATATTCTGTTTAATTGATGGAAGAATGATTGAAAGGACAACTGTCTTCATTGTGGCCATTGATGTTGGTTGAGACTTGGCTGAGAATACAGTAGCCTTGCAATTTCAGCATCTCCTGCCTTCAAATTAGTGTTAGATTACCAAGAAATAGCTGAAACATTTTAGGAAGAGCCTTTTAAAAATATTTAAAATTAATAATTTGCATGAACACAGATGACTACATTTCCCAAAGCACAGTGGACTCTGTGATATACTAAACATATACATCCTTTAAACAATAGTTGTATTTTGATTGGTAGAACATAGCAAAAACATAACTAGAACTGGACAGATCACACTGGCTGTGGGATAAGTCCTTTTATTATTCCTCAGTCCTGAGGGATATGGCCAGGCTAGAGCACACATGACTTTTGACACTCATGTCTTCCTGTTTCTTCCTGATCATGTTCATTTTGTGAAAGAATAATCTAACCCTTCACCACAATGAACACTAGAAAACAATCTATCGCCACACAAACTGGTATCAGAACATGTTTTGTGAATGCACGCTCTTTGCTAGGTCAAAGAGAATTTATTTTGTATAGAGGAACTGGCAAATATTTTCAAGACAAAATAGGACTAATTCGTTATTCTCCCAACCCAAAACTTGATCGTTAAGGACTTTTCAATCCATAGAAGAATGCACCAGGAGGGAGGGTAGGGAGTAGCAGTTATACCACTTGCGCTGGCACTCTGGCTTCTTTTTGGTTAAACAAAATACACCACAGACCCCATTTACTTTTTCGTTTGTTTATTTTCCATTTTTGATTGTAACGAGTATGATCTATTTAAGTTGTATAAAAAAGATAGCATTTTTATACAAATATCTTTAAAGGCACAAAAGATTTATTCACAAGCTGTGGGGAGATTTTTGTCCCTCTGATAAACATGACTGACTTTTAGCTGTCATATAATGTATTAACCTAACAGATGAAATATGTTTGTGGTTGCTCTATATCCCTTTGTACAAGCATTAAAAACTGCTGTTTTATAAGGAGACTTTTTGTTGTACTACGTGCATGCATACTACCTATTTCTAAACTTTGCCATATTGAGGCCTTTATAAACTATTGATTTACGTAATACTAGTGCAATTTTGCTTGAACAATGTTATGCATATCATAAACCTTTTCAGGTTCTTGTTTAAGTACATTTTTTAAATTGGACAGTATTTTTCATTTTGGTTATAATAGTCATTTTGCCTATGTTTCTACAATGAAGTGTTAAATACTTTATAAAAATTGTTGACTGACTTATTTAAATGAAATTCTACATATTTAAATGCCTGTGTTGGGTAATTCTTAAAATTAGAAATTTCCTTTCTTCATATGGTTTAAATATTTCTAGATATTTAAGCTATTCTAGTGAGCATACTCTGGGGTAGAATGGGTGTCCCTGAAAAAATTTTCATACCATACCTGAGGAAGCATTTTCCCTCCACTCTCTTGAAGTGGAAAAGTTTTTCTTGCTTTTTCCTTTCCCTGACTTTTCATTTTGGTCGTAGACTGCATGCTGCAGCAGGGAGAGCTGGGTTATACATGCAGCACTGGGACAACTATGTTGGAGCAAGCCAGCATTATCCCTATCCTTCCTCTTCTCAAAAATTGTACTTAATGGGAAATTGACACTCATTAGATGCTGTTTAGATGGCATAGTCTAAGGAGCACAGTCATCAGTACCAGTATCAGACTGAGATTCAGAAACAGGGCATGATTTCACTACCACTTAGCTATCTACCTTCAGGGCTTTCATATTATCCTTTCATTTCAGGGCTCAGCAACACAACGAAATCACCGTATGAGAGAACCAGAATCCATAGATTATTGTCATCTTGCTACTGTTGACATTAATAGAACTTATAGCAAATTCTGTAGCACATGCAGCTGACACACATTCAGGGCCTACCACTAATGAGCTATTGGTTTGTTTTTTACTTGGGCACTTGTGAAAGCCACAGTGAAAGGAGAATAAGGCTCATAGAGTGCTGAGCCCTGCCTAGAAGATGCCTACAGCTCTGTGAACAGTACTGTGAATGGTACTGATGCTTTGCTCTCCCATGAAGTGTGTTAAAAGTGTACACTGAAGTCCAGAGTGTTGATTTTCAGCAGTTTTCTATTCAGTGTAGCAGGACAAAATATTTCTAACTTATGAATCTTTAATTTACACTATTTCTAATGTTCTCTTTCTATCCCTCATTGTGATATTTTATACTATTCTATTACAAAAAGTCATGCAAATGCTAGAAAATCAAGTGTATAAATCTTCATACCGGAAATTCTTCATCAGTCTCACCAACAGAATGCTTGCTACATGACTGCTTCAAGTTTTGGAGTGAGATATTTTATTTTATACAAATTATCACTTCCTGGTAAACTTGCACCCTCCACCAGTTTCTTTCCATAGAGCAAGGACTTTCAACCTCTTGAAATTTGATGTCAGGTAATTCATAGTTGTCCTTTACAGGGCAGGGTATTTACCTGGATCCCTGAACTCTGTCCACTGAGGTGACAAAAACAACACACTCCACAAAGTTGCAACAGTGATTGATGTCTGCAGACACTTTCAAATATCTAAATTAAAGAAATCAAAAATTAAAGAAATATTCGCACAAAAGATGGCCTGGTCGGTAACTTGTACACGCAGCTTGTTTCAGTCTTTGATGGACAGTCTGCTTCTGTAGGGTGGGCTTTAGAGACACCAGTGTAAACTGTGCAATTCTAATACTTCAGTCATTTGTTCAGTTCATGGTAATTTTTCAGATTTGGTGTCTTTTTCTGTTTTAATGCATAAAATATAAAACTCATAATGTTAGATTTTCAGGTTACTCACGGAGTTCTGTCCTGGAAGGCCAACAATAAAATTGTTGTCACATTTCAAAATATAGTGTCAGTAATAGAAACTATACATTGTATTGGGTTATTAATCAAAAAAAAACTTAAATGAGAAATTTTTTTACTCTATTTATTTTTACTTCGTGTATATGATTGCTTTGGCTGTGTGCATGTAAGTACACCATGTACATGCCCACGGAGACCAGCAAACTTGGATCCCTTGTTATCGGAGACAAGATTGGTTATTGGCTGCCATGTGGTTACTAGGACCTGAACTTGGGTCCTGTGGAAAAGCAGTAATTGTTCTCAACAACTGAGTCATGTCTCTAGCCTGAGAGTATTTTTTTCATACCCCAAATAAACAATGAAGTATAATTGAGAATAAATTTAGGAACTGAATGACAAGGTTAATTGTAATGATATTTAAAACATTTTAATATATAGACTATAAGGCAAGAGTGATTTTATTCATGATATGCCAATATTTTGATAAATAATAAATACTTTAGGAAAGTAATAATTTGCTGCAAGATTTCATAGTAATCTTCATACCTGCAATCTCATCGATGACATTGTAGAAAGCCATATGGATATATAAGCCCCCCCCCACACACACAGAGGCTTTGATGTTCCATTAATTGTGAATTTGATATTTCCCTGTTAGCTAAGACTCAATCACATTGTCCTACTCTGGTTTAGTATTCAGGTATCATTAGTTGATTAGTAAGCAGATTTATACATCTTGTATCATCACCTCCCTGTTTGTATCTCCTTTTCTTTTCTACATGAGGTGATGTGATAAGGAAACTGTTCCCAGTATAATAGTTTGCATTGTGCGTTACTACTGTAAAGTATTTTTTTCATTTAAAAATACAAATAATATACAAGAAGAAATAAATTTTACTCTGATAATTAGATTTAAAATGTAAAAGGTAATTCTTATTTCTCATACCAATATGAGTTATTATGTAATCTTAGAGCCTCCTAATCTAATTCTCTGTAGTATTATTGATCCATTTTATGGTTTTAGTTTGAAAATAGCTTGACAAATGTGTTATTTAATTTTATTTATCCTTGCTTCCTAATTACTTGAAATATTCTAATTTTTTACAGATAATATATTGTATGTGTGTGTTTGTGTGTGTGTGTGTGTGTGTGTGTGTGTGTGTGTGTGTACATATCTGTATTGCCTGCATGTAGGTCAGTGCACCTGTATCATGCAATGCCTGCAGAGGTCAGAAAAGGCCATTAGATCCCCTGAAACTGGAGTTATGGACAATTGCTAGCTGCCATGTGGGTGCTGGAATTTGAATCCAGATATTCTGAAAGAACAACCAGTGTTCTTAACTGCTGAGCCATCTCTCCAGCCCATAAAACACATTATTCTCTTTTATAGCATAATTTCTCCATTTTTAGTCCTGACTGAAATTTTAATTTATTATGTACTAAGTCAGGGATATCAAAATGCTTCCTCTGTAGTATATTTGCTGAGCTTTCACAAATAAACATATGTTTCTCTATGGTTTTAAGGCCATTATGAACTCAGCTGGCAATACATTCCAGAATCAGAAACCTCTTTCATAATTAAGCTAAGCCTACTCCACTCTTAACAAACCTTTTGTAAGGACAAATTGACTTTTTGCTTACTTATATAATTTCTTCCTAGTCTTAAAACAGGAGAATAAAGTTATTTAAATATTTTGACATACAATTTTTTATATTTTGAAGGTTTTAAAATTTTTATATTTAATGTATATTTTTATTGAATTTTTGTGTATTTCATATAGTACATCTTAACATAGATGACAGAAAACACACACAATTTTATCATTGTAATATGTTTCCTCTCTCTCCTCTATTCTTGAAAAGATTTTCTAAAACTTTTTATTGAGCTTTCATACATTTCAAACACCAGTTCTTGATCAAATTTAGACTCCCCTCCCACATCCTTGCCCTCCAACCCCCTACCGGACCTCATGCATTTTGCCACATGTGTGAAGTCCTATGCAGTCAAGCATTTGTGCCC